ATGAGGTGGTGTTTACATTCCAGGTGAGGGTGTCTGTGATGTGCACCCCCAGGAATTTGGTGCTGCTGACCACCTCTACTGCCGATTCTTCCTGAAGTCCAAGATGATCTCCTTCGTCTTCTCCACATTCAGGATCAGGCTGTTGCTTCTGCACCAGTCCACCAGCTGCTCCTTGTCTTACTCCTAGTCCACTTATTCCATTAAAAAAATAGTTTCTGTGTTTAGATTCAATATAATTTTAGAATATGTAACCGTGTCTAATCTTCAACTCACTAGGTGCTGATTATATATAGAGTTTTTATTAGACAATATTGGTATAGATTCAAAATTATATCAAAACATTTTATCAGACAATATTTGTATTGATTTGAAATACAAAAATCAAGATATTTCATTAGATGATATTTCATATATGTAGATTAAACATATAGCCAAATGGATCTAAAATCTAATGAAATGTTTATAGGCAAACAACCATTTTATAGTCTTACCTTTATATAACCCTTTAACCCTAAGCCACTATTTGGCAGCGTACCACTCAAGATTTGAATAATCAGCTGCTCTCTGAAACAATGAGATCTTTTGAGGTTTTACAGAGATATATCGTTCTAAAAATAACAATATACTATCTTTGTTAATGTATCAGAATATATTGGGATAAATTCAATTCAGTATATTTATATAGCATCAATTCACAACATAAATTATATCATGACCCATATTTATTAAATTTATTGTAGCACCATATTCTTGCCAATTACCACCCAGACTGCATTAAAAATGTATAATTAAGCAAGTTGTGGTCTGTTTGAAGTCAGGCTGCTTGTTTTGTACCTGGATAGCTCACTTTATGGTTCCTCAAATCACAGAAATCAAGTCACTGTACAATTTCTACAGTATGTATCTCACGCAGCAGTGTTTTGCTACCTCATGGAAACAGCATTAAATTTCCATTTTCAGATCGATAATCCTCCGTCTTTAGTCAAACACTAAACTTGTGGATTGGCATCACCAGCCAATAATCATAATTATTTGTGGATTGGAATCAAGATAGTTAAGCTCCCGTTTAAATATCTGAGAATTATGTTAACTCCTTGTTACACAGATGTGGTACATACAGCTAAATCCATTAACAGGAAAGCGTGACCCTAAAGCCATTTTCAGTTCCTAGAAGCATTATTCTTAGTTGTGTGTTGAAACAAATGCTGTTAAGTGTTTTTGAACTTTACTCACTTTTTTAAAAGCGCTGCCATTATTATGAAGTCCAAAGTTATTAGGATATATTTCTGCCGATGATGACTGTGAGTAAACTTTTGACCATAACAGTAAATCCTGTTAAGCTTACAGTTTATGGTTTGGGTTCCTGCCAGTTTAGCTTTGACTCTCATTCTTTTTATCCTATCTTCCTTTCAGCTTCCTTTTCTAATTAAGGTAAAACTATTTTATAAGGGAAAACGATGGATATTTTAAGCCCAGGCAGCAAATCTTTAGTGTGGCCCCTTTATATCACACAAAAATCTGATTTTTGCTTCTATAAAGTCCTCTAATGGCTGATCATTGTTTGTTTTTTTCAACCTTACACAACATCCACTTTTCACAGATTGTTAGGCTTCTCATTCAATGTTTCCCTGTCTTTGTCAAACAATCTACTCCACTGATTTCCCCCTCATTCCCTAAATGGAGCCCTCGGAGGACTGCTGCACTCACACTCCATGCTCCTCCATCCGTGTTGTTTCAGCTACGGACCCACACAGCATGTAATTTGTTTCCATCTCATAGTTTTATGAATCATTCTCTCTGTTCCGCTGTACTCGCCAACACAAAAGGAGGTGATTTAAAACAGGATTTACAAACGGACACCTTGTCAATCAGAATTTTGAATAATTTTCTATAAACGAATAGAAATGTATTCTATAAACGAGTTGTTTGAAACAGGGACGTCATCGTTGGCCAGAGCGTTTTATGCAGTCTGAAAAGACTTGCCAACTATTGATAAAACCTTGACTTTTTGGCTACTGTATTAATACATCAAGGATGATCAGCTTGACATCTTGGTTAAATTGTTTGCATCATTTTATTAGTTTGCTTACATCTTATGCTTTCTCTTACGCTGAAGATTTATGGACTGACTTTTGTTCCATTATTGTTGCAAGCAAAGAAAATGTTTTGTGAAAGGAAATTACAGAGAAAACACATTTGCTAAACTGAAATAAGAAAAAGATGCAATCCAGATATGAAACTTAAAAAAAAAATCTTTAAATGTACTGTATCTTCATATTTTATTAATTCAGATTTTTTTTTTCTGAAAACAAACAGAGCATTTAAAGACAAGCA